AAACTAGCCCAATATAGCTGGATTTAATGTTTGGAATATTCTGAACACTTCTCCAGAAGGCCACGAACCCATCCGAGGTCATCTTGGGCTCCAAAAACGTAATTTAAGCCCAGAAACGTCATTTTCCAACACCGCGCATCGCTCCTTTATTTTATCGCCAGAAAATAACCGCTTGGTGGAAAAATCCCAGATTTTGATATGATCAAGCTAAGTGACTCACAAACGTCATCCAACTGGAATTACTCCAAAATTCGTCCATTTGATCCTGGTTTTCTCCAGAGGAAGTTGAAAGTCCTATATTGAAAATACAATTCAAAGCATCAAAATTCTTTCAAAATATTAACCAAAATATACTAAGATTAGAGTAAAATATATAATATAAAATCTACTCATCAACTATCCTGGAAGAGATAGTGTAATACCTTTGAAAAGGCAATGGATATCCAAAAGAAATCAAAAGTTTTTATGCATGCGAATGCACATGAGAATATGGGATCACAGATTGATAATAACCAATGGTAATTTTGGTTTTTATAAGTAGTTACTAAATTCATCAATGAGCTGTGTTGATATTGAGCCTCGTTCTTTTCAACGAAAAAAAAATGGAGAAAGGCAATTCCATTACAATTTTGTAAAAACGTGGAAAAATGGACCTATATATTTGAATATAATATAAATAGCCAAAATATGTTGAATCAAAGAGGTTACATTGGACATTTGTAATACAGTGAAATACACTCACATGATATGACACAAGGTTGTAAACAAGTTCATATGAATGGAGAATTATATATGAATGGTTGTAAGTCGCCCACATCATATCTCCATAAGTAAATCCCTCAATTATACATGGGAGCAAGTTGCTCTGTATAAATTCCAAAGGAAAATGTGTCATGAAGTGTAGAAAATCCCTGAAGGATTCAAATTGCTTAAAGTAAGCCCCGGAATGGTAAAACATATATTAGGTACTCAATACCAATAGATGGTATAAATTGCCTTAGTGAGTACTATCATTATGATATTGTTGCAACATACTAAAATCTCTTGCAAGAGTCAATGACATTAAATTAGAACTCCTGAAGAGTTAATAATATTAAATTGAAACTCCCAAAGAGTCTAGAAAGAATATAAAGTGTTGAGAGAAATATTGTCTCGAACTGCAGATCGAACAATATGCCAACATGAATCTTATCCATGATGTTTATGATATTAAAGAACCATATGGATTAAAGATTATGAGTTAAATACTCAAATAATGACGACACTAAGAATGATAATTTATCTTCGTGATGGTAAAGATAAATTGATATTTGGTCAAGAAGTGCCACATCTTAGTAAAGTATATGCATTATTGTATTTAGCACAATACATTGAATGAAATAAAGCTTATCTATTAATATTTCTGAGAAATTACAGATATGTGCATACACATGAGTTAAAACAAATAAATATGATGAAGCCTTCACAAAGGTTGCTCGTGTGAAGCCTTAATGCTCGGCAATACCCCAGAAGGGGGAGACACTGGAGATTGATCATGTGGCACCCCAGTACTTGGCAAAAAAACCAGAAGAGGAAGGCATCAATTGCTTTCGGAATCTAGCAATGAACCTCTACTGATCATTTTGAATCCGACTTTCGGATTCCTGCAGCTAGTTGAGCTTTTTTTTCATGTTCGTCGAGTAATTATTTGAAAGCACGTGTAACACTTTATTGTCGTGTTTGAGCCCTCTGATATCTTGTTTAAGACTTGCCACCTTAGCCATCAATGATTCAACTTGGCGAGTTTGAGCAAGTAGGTGTTGGCCCATATTGGATACAGAGCCCGCACATTGAACACTGAGAGCCAAGGAGTCTTGAATGGCCAACTCATCAGATCGTTTTGAAAGGATTCTGTTATCCTTTGGAGTGAGAAGATTCTTAACTACCACAGTAGCGATTATGTTATTCTTCATCACATGGTCCCCAACTGTAAGATGATCATTAGAAGATAAGAAGGACGAGCGCCATTTATTATCCTGACGATGCTCGTCTGTATCACTCCTAAGACTAAAATCTAAGCAAATGTTAGATGGACAAGCCAATTTCAGAAATGAAGGAAAAATGAGGTCAAATAAAATCTCAGAAGTGTAAGAAGGGAAATTTTCTACAGGCATCAACTTTCTGAGCATACTCTTGAACACGATTGATGTCTCTATAAAAGAAGAGACAATAAAGCCACTTGTTCAGAGATTGAAGAGGCATCGCTCTCCAAATTTCAAAAGCCAGATTTTCCTGAATAAAGTTTGTTGGCATTTTTCAAACGCAATCTCAGCTTTTTCGGATATTAGGTGCAACTTTGTCGAAGATCTCTAACAAAGTTGAAAACGGGTAAATCTTACTATTCTAATTACACCACAGTTGCTGACAAGAGTAAAGACACAACATCACTATTTGCTATTAAAAAATCTCTATATATGTCGACCTCAGTTCTCTATAACAAAGCAAACCTGCAAGAATGTCTAACTCTTCCTCATCTCCGAGAATGCATCTTCAACACAGCATCTTGAAATACTCAATTTTCTTCCTCTCCGAGAATACCTCTTCAAAACAAGTCACACCAGAGCAAGAGTATCTTATATCATCAGGGTCAAAAACAAGAGTATCTCATATCATGTTTTCTCCATGTCCTTTCCTTTGTCCTTGTTCTTACCTGCAAAGGCAAGAGAAAGCAATATGTCGGAACCTCCAATCAAACTTCCGGTAAGGAACTGACTGCCCAGAACCTTTGCTTGGTTGCTTACCTTGCATTGCTCTCGAGTACTCATCTTCAATTGTTGATATGATGTTGGCTATTTACACTAAAGCTACCACACATGGATGAGTCACCAAGAAGTGATGAACCATTCAAATGCAAGAGTTGCATTTCACTCCTGCATAAGTAGACAAATACTACAAGAAAAGATGTCACACATGCATGGGGGAAAACCAGGGAAAACACCATTTCTGAAATGGGAATAGATAAGGCAAGCGAAAATGATACATTGAAGCATGTGGAGACAAACGCAACAAACACGTGTTGATTCATTCCCGACAAAGCCGAATATTACTTGCCACGTGAAGCTCCTCATGGTCCAATTTCATTCAAGATCAAGTCTCTAAGGTTCTTGAAGAAATCACAAGTCTGATTCAAGATCAAGTGTCCACCACCATTGAATCAAATTTAGCTACAGATAAATGAAGTAAATTCATACTTTTAGAGGAAATCAGAAGACCCTTCAGCCCAGTTCAAGAACAAGCCTATGGAAAGTTAACAACAAGTAAAGCATATTTTTCGACAACTCTTCTTGCTAAGAGACTGAAGCAGGATGATCAACAATCAGCCTAAATGATTTGAAATTAGGGGGAGCATCCAAAGCAAATCAAGATTTTAATGAATCAATCGAAGACTTGTGGCCATCCAAGAGGGAGTGTTGTAGAACAATGGATGTCCACTCAAAGAATTAAATAATGGGCCCTTCCATTGTCCGCTGAAGCTTGCTGCACACTACTCCTATTTTATATATAAATACAAACCCCACACAACATCAAAGGGAGAAGTACACGGAAGATGAAGAAAGAAAATAGAGGAAGAGGAGAGGAGATAATAGAGAAAGTTATTTTTGTACTCCTATTATTCTAAATTATAATGAAAGCACCACTGCTGTCTCGAGGACGTACTCCAGTCATACTGTCTGTAGAGGAACCTCGTATATTTCGTGTCTTGTTTCATTTATTCCACTGTACACACTGTCGATTTTACAACAGTAATAACCCTTCAACACACAAAGTAATTATCAATAATAACCAAAATTTAACACCCAATTTTATAAATGTCATATTTTTTTATAAAATCTTTCAAAATATATCAAAAAACTCACTTAAATAAACGTAAATATCCTCGAAATGAAAGCCAAATAAATATAGGTGGCAAAACCCTCACTCCCATTGTTGAGGGCAGCATTTTCGCACACTCACCCTATTTTTTTAGTTATGATTGGTTTGTGAGGTCTAGAATAATTCAGAACATGCTAATCGAATTACAGATTAATTAGATTTGCGGGTAATAGAAGCAAGAATTAAATTGGAACGATCCTCTTGTGAAAAAACTTTATTGTTTTAAATCTCTGTTCTCCAGCAAATTTAAGAGAAATTCACAAGTACAATTAAATTGAAATTTGATGTCAATGAGTGAGAAACCTCAACTAATATCATGTTTGCTAAGATGATTGTACAAAGCATATTCTAACGAGATGATATTGTATCACTGGTAGTGATTGAGTTTCAAACATGAGCAGCAAATTTTCAAATATGTACTCAATTAGTTGATTGTTAATCAACACCCGCAACTGCTCCACGACATACGCCGCATCGCACTTTGTACAACTGTGTAGAGCGCAGAGTAGATCTATTCAAGTGTTTCAGATATCATGGGTATTTAGGTATATTCACATGAATTTTCTGCTATATTTCAAAATTCTTATAAAATGTGACATTTATGAAATTATATGTTAAATTTTGATTACTATTTGGTAAATACTCAGTTCACTTCCATACAAACAGCCATTTTTGTATGAGATGACTGTGTCCAATGGGGGAGACGATATAAGCTACAAATAAAAATAAATTTAAAAAACCGAAAATACCCACTTTTCCCACAAACTCTTTGCTAATTCGTAGGAGATGAATTGAATTGCAGAGAAATTAAAATTTGATTTGAAGCTATTTATTAAAATTTTCTGAAATCGGAGTAAAAATAGTAGATGCCCAATTCATTTTAATTCATAAAAATTCATCACGTGCTACAGAAAATACAAATCAAGGATGAACCAATCTCGAAATTTGAGTAAAAAATTCAAACAGATTTGAATCTCTTTCTTTTCCCTTGATTTGATTAGGTTTTTGGGTCGGCTGGGATGGGGGTTCGCTTGCAAATTAAGCCAAAGATATTCGTACTATCAGATCAGAGGAACAAAAGAGTGAAAATAAGATCTCAGTAACTTGAAATTATCTTCAAATCCCTCGAGGTCGAGAGAAGTTGCAGAAAGATAACGCAGATTTAAGTAACATCATTGATCCACAAACATACACAAAAATATATAATTAAAATAAAAACAAATTCAAAGGAAAAAGCATCTCAGATTAATATTCCCCATACTTTCTTCACGGGCAATCATAGTGCAAGGATAACGTTTCTAAGAAATCATCACCGATGCTCCTTTCCAATATAATCAAAGAATTCAAAAGGGGAAGAAAAAAAAAGGAAGATAAATTGTGTACCCAAAACAAATAAAATTTTCCTAAATAATTGACATGAAAACGTTAAATTAATTATCGGAAAAGATTAAATAGAGACACAAAATTTAATCAAGCCTGGATTGAAGAAGATGAAGAAAGAAAACAAAGAAGATAGATCGTTGGCGGTTTTGAGAAGACGAGAGAGGGAGAGAGGGATTTGGGATAAATTTATAGGGGTGTGATTGGACTTAACCCTAGCGATCGTCCGTGGGCCAGGGAACCTGTACTGGTTTAAGCCATTTTTGTGCTGTCCTAGGCCTGGCCCACCTCTAACAATAACATGTTCTCCCCAACCATCCGGCCCATCTAAATTTATCAGTTTTAACATTTGGGCCCATTTGAGACTACCAAGCAAACAAGCATGAAATATTTTAAGTGACCTATTTAGTTAATTCCATCACTTTAGTATCTAGAATGCTTTTGATGGTCAAAAACACCTTTTAACAAAGGATAGTGCTAACCATACACTCATTTTTACTTATTGCACACTCATCTCCATTTTCGATTGTTGGATTGAATGAATTTAAGAAGATCAATGACAAAAATCAAAAGTGCGTTAGAAATTCAAACGGATGTGTAAATAACATTTTTCAAACCTAAATCTCAAACATTTCTACCTCGCAATTTCCTCTCAATCTTAACTCAATTGAAGTAATAGTGACTTAACTAAAAGTTCGTGACCATCGGTCATTTATCTCAGCAAAACATGCAGCTATGATCATTTTTTGTCAACTCTGTTAACATTTTCGTCAAAATGAGTCACGTGTCACGCACATAAGGCTAAATCAAATGGCAAATATGAAAAACCAAATGAGTAAAATTGTAGCAATGGTACTTTAATACAATAGGAGAAATAGTACTTCAACTTTAATACTTTTTTTGACATAATTAACGAAAATGACCATAATTGTACATTTTGATGAGTTAAAAAACCAATTAGTAGGGCCCATTCCTCTAATTTAGCTAAAATTGAGGGATGTTTCTACCATTCAGTACTACGATGATAGTGTTCTTCTTCACTTGTAAGTGAGAGATCTTAGGTTTGAATCTTGTGGATGACAAATTCAATACCAAATTAAGTTGTTCATTATGTAACTTAACCAAACTCTCTTATTCTTTTAATGTAAAATATTCGTTGTACTAAAAAAATAAATAAAATTGAGGGATGTTTCTATAATTTTCTCAAGCAACTATAGACCATGTCCCGTTTAAATGGTGGACAGATTTGACACACAAAAAATGGTGGACAGAATGTGTCCACATGTTCATCACAAAAACCAGCCACTCGTTCAAGACCGAGAGTGTACATTTCCAACCTTCTCCCCAACCCCATGCAGTATTTATCAAAAAAATTAGGAAAATGAAAAGAAAAACCTCCTTCCCAAGCAAAAGATAGAGATATATGCAACAAAGCTAGAACAATCGCAGAGCAAAACCCACAACTCCCAAAATTCACCATTTTTATAGGCCACTTTCAAGGATCAAATCCAAGTAAAAAAAAACCCAGAGACTACCGACTCTAATTCCTCAAAAGAAAATGGGCACGGTTTTTGGGAAGATAAGCGTGGAAACCCCAAATTACAAAGTCATCCACTCCACCGCTCTCTACGAAATCCGGCAATACGCGCCGTCAGTAGTAGCCCAGTTCACCTACGATCCTTCCGACCTCAAGGGTAACAAAGATGGCGGATTTACTGTCCTCGCCAACTACATCGGCGCATTGGGAAATCCTCAGAACACCAAACCCGAGAAAATCGCCATGACGGCTCCGGTCATAACCAAAACCCAAAACCCAGAAAGCGAAAAGATCGCCATGACGGCTCCGGTGGTGACGAGGGAGGAGAAGGGGAAGAGGATGGTGACGATGGAGTTTTTGCTGCCGGCGAAGTATGGGAAGGCGGAGGATGCGCCGAAGCCGGTGGATGAGAGGGTGGTGATTAGAGAGGAGGGGGAGAGGAAGTATGGGGTGGTTGGATTTGCGGGGGTGGCGACGGAGGAGGTGGTGGCGGAGAAGGTAGAGAAGTTGAAGGAGAGCTTGGAGAAAGATGGGTATAAGATTATAGGGGATTATATTCTGGCTAGGTATAATCCGCCATGGACTTTGCCTCCCTTCAGGACTAACGAGGTTATGATCCCAATTGAGTGATTTTTCAGATTTTGTTTCTTGTTTGTCTGTAAGATGCTCTGTTTTTTTTAACTAGTATTAAATAAAACATGTATTTTGTAAAGTAGACTATTTTTTATGCCATGTTTACTAATCCGTAATCGGGCGAGGACCAATTGTATAAGGAATGAAGAAGTCATGAATCGAAAAAGAGAAAGTAAGAAAATAATGGATTCGTAGTTTGATTCCCCTGTGTTGGGATTTCTAATAGTTAGTATACACAAGTGATTCGTATCTAACTTCGTAATTTACACATAAATAGCATTAGTGTTTTCTTAACAATGAAGTATAAACATGATTACACCTTAATTTTATTTGTATTAGTGTTTTCTTTTCCTTCTTACTCACCCTCCTTGAGGGAATTTTTGCTTCAAGACAATAAAAAACATAAGTTTTCAAGTTCAAATAGTCACGTTTTATATCAATTCACTTATATTGAGGGAAATTTTGCTTCAAGACAATAAGAAAAGAAGTTTTCAAGTTCAAATAGTCACGTTTTATATCAATTTACTTATATTATAGCACATGGATTTATTCATAACATAATAGTTATGTCATTCACTCATATTATAACACATGAATCAGTAACATTACGTAACGTAGTGACAATATCATCATGATATTGACATAACGTAGTGACAATATCATCATGACATTGACAAGTTTCTTCGCAAAAACTAATGTTGTACTTTATATGATAAATTTTGCACCTGAGCCCGAAATCCACCTTAGGAATGATAAAGAGTGATCCTCAGCGATGAATACAGATAGCTCCGCATATAGGCAATCAAATGTCTGCAATGAGAACCCAAGTCTACTACTTTGGTTTCAGTGAACGACGTACTAACTTCAATGTTTGAGGGTCTTACGCTGAAATCCTAACACCACAAACATTTGCTCTCTTTGCAGGCTACACCACCATCAATTCCGCGAGAGAAACTTTCATATCACGGGAGTTTATATCTCAAAAACAACTTGTATGACACAAATACACCGCGACAATGGTGTCCTATGCTAATGGTATGAGAACAGGTGGAGAGAAGCTAAGACACATCCATGTATTGTTGTCATGCTTAATGTCTAGATTTGGCAAATGATAACTTATCGAGTTCTTAATAAGTGACCCGATAACAACCCAACACATTAATAGATTACTCGATAACAATCCGACTCGTTGGTTGACCCAAAATCCGTTATTTTCATATCGTTCGAGGACCTGATCCACCAACTATCTGAAATGTTGGCAAACAAGGCCATATAAGTGACCAACACTACCTTTTCCTGATCATCATGGCTTTTCCCCTTTGGTTATGTCAGTAGCTTGTTCTGAATCCCATCTTTTGTGAACGATATTCACTTAAAAAACTGTGTGTAATGTAGAACAATAAAGCCATGGATCAACAACACACCCACATACTGAATTTGTAGTTGGGACTCAAACCCAAGAACAAAACAGGATGTAACTTGCCGAAAATTCGTTAACAAATTACAAAGACACATAATTCACACAAAGCATTTCACCCGGAGATGAGCTTCACTACAATGGTAACTAGGTTCAAAAGTATGAGAGGAAATCTGAAGAATTGGCATGCATGTATAAATCCTATGATCTGCCCCTTAAGCGTAGTTCTCCTCCCTCCTTGCAACTGCAGCAAGGTCCACCCTCTCGGACCCAAAAACCGATCTTCGTTCAGTATGGCGAATGCGTTTGCGAGCAGCAAGAAGCCTTGGAATACAGTCCACAATCCCATTTTCTGCACAACCAGGTTGACAACCTCAGTTGCTAAACATCACTGATTCACTAACTAATTAACATGAAAGGCATGTTTGGAGCTAGAGGTGCTTTTAAAATTGTTAAGGGTTGATTGGGACACCATTTGGAAGTGTTAAAAAAGCGTTTTCCGAACACATTTAGCAGAAAAACTTAGAAGAGCTTATGGAGCATAATATCTCTTTCTATAGTAGCACCGGTGCTGTTCAAGATAAAAGCACTTACAGCAAAAGTGCTTATGAGGAGAAAGAAAGCAGTCTCAACTGTGCCCTCCAAGCGTTTTCAAATAATCAAACCAATTCCGACAACGCATAAAGTAAAAGCAACAGAAGTGCTTTCAAACCTTCAATTTCTTATGCGCACACAAAATTCAGTAAGAGATTTCAAAAGGGCATAATGAACAATCAAGCACAAACAGAAACTGTGCAAATCATGAATAAATAATGAAATTTATCGATATCGTTTCAACTGTCGATATTGAACCCCAAAAAAAAAAAACCAAATTCAAAAAGGAAACCGATCAGAACTGAAAAAAGACATGTTCTTTCGTATCTTAACACAATCGAATCGATTCTAGGAAGAACAGAACGACAGGAAATCTTACCGGCGATTACTTGTTCCAGACAGCAAGTCGTTTCTCGGTCGAAAGCGTTCGCCTTGATTTCAACAACACCGAAACGAAACAACAGGAAAGACCGAAAGTCATCGCAAATCAAAAGGACTTCAAGCACGAACCGAAGCCAGGTCAGAATCCTTGTTAACTTTTCATCCGACGGTCGTACATAATCCACGTATCACTTTAAGACATTCTCACTTAATTCTGACCCGACCCGGATGTTGGAGTCCAATATAAGAGGAAATGGGAGGAATGGTCCCTGAACTATGCTCGAATTGTAGATTTGGTCCCTAAACTAAAAAATCATTAGATTTGGTCCCTGAACTTAACAAAATGTATAGCATTGGTCCCTCTATACTAACACCGTGAGATTTTCCGTTAGTTTGATGACGTGGTCTTTGTGGGCTCCATATTTTTGTTTACTAAATGCCATGTGGCTTAAAAATTCAAAATAAAAATAAATACAAACATAGAAAAAGAAAAAAAATAAAAAAGTAAAAGTTATCTCTCTCTCTCCCTTTCATTGCTTGGACCGCAAACGCCCAGGAAATCCGGCGCCTCACCAACCTCGGCGTCGACACCAACTTCGACTGCGCAAAATCCCAAGTCTTTCCCTTTCTCTCCCACCGGTGCTCTTACTCCTCCAAATCCCCGTAAGTAGCCACGATGTCCACACTTCCAAGATTCAATCGCTGCCCACCTCAGAAGCTTCCCAGTCGACTCGACTTCTCTGCCATGGCGATCCAGTTCAAAATCAGAAGCTCCGTACCCGTCGCCGTCGACGGCCGAGCCTCCATCTCCGATCGTCGATCTCAGCAGCACCCTGCTTCAACTTTGCTTCTCCATGGAATGTCGCCGACCTCACCACCGCCGAGCGCCGTCTCTGGGTGATCACCACGGCGACATCATGCCATTTGATCTGGGCGCCAAACTCCCTCGCCGACTTCACCACCGCCGAGCGCCGTCTCCTCCAAATTCCAGAAAGCTCCAAGAAACCATGGCGTCGGACTTCTTGGTCTCCCTCGCCGCCATCCTCTTTGCTCTCTCTCTCTCCTTCCCGGGAGCACCTCGCTGTTCACCACCTAGCCATGATCCGCGCTCTGACTCGACGCCTCCGACCCAGCCATGATCCGTGCCTTCCTCCTCTCCTTCTCCCTCAAGGCGTGCTCGATCGATGCGACCTCCCTCTCCGTCGCAGTTCGTCGTCGCAGCAAGGCAGAAGGGAAGACGGGAGAGAGAGAGAGATAACTTTTACTTTTTTTATTTTTTTTTCTTTTTCTATGTTTGTATTTATTTTTATTTTGAATTTTTAAGCCACATGGCATTTAGGGAACAAAAATATGGAGCCCACAAAGACCACGTCATCAAACTAACGGAAAATCTCACGGTGTTAGTATAGAGGGACCAATGCTATATATTTTGTTAAGTTCAGGGACCAAATCTAATGATTTTTTAGTTTAGGGACCAAATCTACAATTCGAGCATAGTTCAGGGACCATTCCTCCCATTTCCTCCCAATATAATAACAACGACCCGATAAAATGTACAGAGAGACCGAGCGAGGTTTTGCTGACGGACATGGATAAACCCTAACACTCAGCTCAAACCATGGCATCATTTCACATCTCTCTCCCACCGGTAGTAAACCCCAGAAGCGTAATTTCAAAAGGGGTAGCATTAGAATCTTTAAAGTTGAAAGCTTTCAATCCACAGTTTTTGCTACTTAAGCCCCCGAAATCGCGCAATCTAAACCCACCCAGAGTTTCCATTAACAGAGAAGACAATGGCAGCATTGAACCCATCAAACCCACTCGCCGCGGCAGGAAAAAGGGCCCCACTTCATCTTCTTCAGAAGTACCCAAAAAAAACCAAGCGTTCGAAGAAGTCCGAGGTCGTAAATGGCGCTGTCGAACCCGAACCCGAACTTGTATCCGCAATCCAAACCGAATACCCAGAATCGGACCTCGAAGATTACGACGACGGCGTCGATTTCCCGTACGACGACCCACCCCTGGTCTGCTGCTTCGGGGCTGCGCAGAAGGAGTTCGTCCCGACGGTCCGGGTCTCCGACAACCCAATGCACCCGGACATCTACTCGCAGTGGAAGATGCTCCAATGGGACCCGCCGGAGTTCGTGAGGGCGCCAGGTGGGTCGCCCTCCAACGTGGCCATCTAGCACGTGCGGCTCGGCGGGAGGGCGGCGTTTATGGGGAAGGTCGGGAAGGACGATTTTGGGGATGGGCTGGTGCTGATGATGAACAAGGAGAGGGTTCAGACGCGCTCGGTGAAGTTCAATTCGACGGCGAAGACGGCGATGACTTACAGGAAGATTAAGTTCGACTATGAGAGGATGTGGGCGGAGACGGTGAAGGAGTCCGCCTAGGACTCGTTGCTTTGCTCCGAGCTCAACCTCGCCGTGCTCAAAGAGGTATTGTATATAGTGTTTACATTGTGTTTGTTTAAGGGCCACTCTTAGCTCATAAGGCGCTTCTGCCATTAGTAGAAACACGTCGGAATTTTCATAAACAGTCGAAGAAACATTTCAAAATGCTTTCTGGATAAGCACCCAGGAAGTGCTTCTTGAATAAGCACTTGGGAAGTAAGGGAGTGGTTCTTGGAATAGCGCCTAGGAAGAGTATTTCGATTAAGCACCTAGGAAGTGCTCGGAAAAGAACTTTGGAAGTGGGAAGTGCTTCTTGGAACGAAGCTGATATAATCGAGGTTTCGAGGCAGGAATTGGAATTCCTTCTTGATGAGGACAACTACGTGAGGAAGAGGAACTACAGGCCCCAGTATTATGCTGAGGAGTTTGAGCAAACCAAGAAGCGGAGAGATTATTAACATTACACGCCTGAGGAAATATCTTTGTTATGGCATAAAGGACTTAGGTTTCTGTTTGTGACGGATGAAACTCTTTGAATTCATAACTATTCTCCTTCGTTTCACGGTGTTGTGATTGGAACGGAAGATGTGCTCATAACCCCATTCACTTGTGATAGAACTGGTTCTGGAGATGCAGTTGTAGCTGCTATCATGCGAAAGCTGACAACTCACCCCGAGATGTATGAAGACCAAGATGTTTTGGAAAGGGAACTTCGATTTGCAGTTGCAGCAGGAATTATATCGCAGAGGACTATTGGTGCTGTTCGAGGTTTTCCGACGGAAAGCGCTACTCAAAATCTGAAGGAGCAGGTTTATGTGCCTTCGATGTGGTAGTAGTGTACAAAATTGTTCATTGTATCGTATGATCTCGTTAGCGTTGAAAATTTTGTCAGTGTAGGAAGAAAGATTGTATCCAGCGTACACTAGTCTAGCATTTGAATTCACTTTATTCTTGCAATTGTAGCATAAACCAAATGCACATGGGCTTTTGAAATGGGAATTGCTTTTGGAGCAAATATATTCCTCATAATCCTCGTACCGTATAGCGCACCCAAGCAAAAGGAGCCCCCAGCTAATCAAGGAGAAAAACTTGTGCACGGGTGCGCGAATCACGTCAATTGTAGGACAGCTCTTACAAAAGCATTAAACTCTTGTATTTTAGCCATGTGTGATTCCTTATTGGTCTCATCCAATGTGAGAGATGCACTAGTAGAGTAACTCTATCGAGGTTTCCCTCCTAATTGAGGGACTCCAAACAATAATCACAAAGAAAGTAAGTAGTTCCACCTGCGGATCATCCCGTGCCTGACTATGAGCTTTGATTTTTTTAGCACGGGGACGAATTTCGTGGGCAAAGCTATTCTATTTCCAGTAGGCGAAGAAGAAGAAGAAACTCCTCACTCGAGTAAGGCTGGGGTGCCTTTCTCCAATATGTCCTAAGCATGGTCTAAAATATTTATAATATCCCGATATTTGCATCGAAATTTCTGTGTTTTTGGACTACCGATATTTTCGATATCATCGATATTTTAGACCTTGGTAAGTGACTCGTGTATCTTACCATGCAATGTATAAAGTGTAAAATATTGTACTAATTCATTATATATAAATGATTATGGTGTGTTTAAACTTCTTTCATTAATTACTGCATATTTTTTACACTCACAATGTTTGCCAGCTCGCTATATAATCAATTTAAATCAGTTATATCTATCATGCAATGCATTTCTTTCCAATTTTTTGTGATAAACTAATAGATAATTGACTAAATAAACATCCTACAAAGTTTCAATAAAAATTTCCAAGTTTTTCTTACAATTTCCGTGGTTTTTATTTAATTTTTATCGATATTGATAATATCCCGATATTTCCATCGAAATTTTTTTGTTTTTGGACTACCGATATTTCCGATATCATCAATACTTTATACCTTAGTCCTAAGTTAGTTTCAATAAATCGCCTACAGGACAACGACAAGTGAAAAATCCGCTTGAAATGTATTGAACTTCTTTCTATTGGAGGTTGTGTAAGAAAAATTACATTCAAATTCATCGCGGAGCTCTTTTTTTTTAAAGATCAAACCAAAGAAAAAAAAATTGAATCAATGAATTACTATAGCAGCTCCATTTCTGACAACGGCAAGAGGTCTCTGTGCTAATCAAACTACCCGAAATTTATCCTAAAACTATACTCAAGCTCCACCTTCTCTGCAATCTCAAATGCCTTCTCAATCATTTCATCATATACCAAAACTTGCATTGCGAATCGCAACTTTTCGACCCTGTACAGCAAGCACAATCTCTGAGACCGAGCGAAAAAGCACTTCTTTCAGAAGCCCACCAATTTGGGCTGCCATTTTGAGCAGTGGTATTGTGTAGTATTTTGTACAGCATGAGCTAGCCACATGCATTCTCCGTCCGACTGCATCATCTTTGCGACGAAACAGTCATACTTCGTCTCTCATCAAACTTCACCCTAGACATTTGCTCCTGCGTCTTGTTACAGATGCAACCGGGAAAGGGATTTGCATAAAAGTTCTCCTCCAACCTTGGCGACTCACCGATCTGTCTAGCATATGGTGCTCCAAGCCTGTCAGAATGCAGATTTTTAACCGCGGACGAAAGAAGTTCCCATGATATTGCTCCCTTATCCAACAGATCGACGAGTTGAACAAAATTTTGTCTGAAATGAAAATCATAACATGTCAGAAAACTAGTTCATGATATATCTTCCAACCAAAAGGTTGGGAATTTGAGGAGCAA